ATAGACTATTAATTAATAAGATGCATACCTCCAACCAATAGTAAAGTGTCTTGTATCCTTAGATTATTAATTCACTAAATATATACTGAAGTGTCTAGTATCCTTAGAGTATAAGTTCACTAGATACATACCTGCAACCCATAGTAAAGTGTGTGGTATTCTTAGAGTATTAGTTTACTAGACACATACCTCTAACCCATTGTAAAGTGAATGGTATCCTTAGAGTATAAGTTCACTAGACACATACCTCCAAACCATAGTAAAGTGCATGGTATCCTTAGAGTATTAGTTTACTAGACACATACCTCTAACCCATAGTAAAGTGTGTGGTATTCTTAGAGTATTAGTTTACTAGAGACATAACTCTAACCCATTGTAAAGTGAATGGTTTCCTTAGAGTAAAAGTTCACTAGACACATACCTCCAACCCATAGTAAAGTGTATGGTATCCTTAGATTATTAATTCACTAGAGATATACCTCCAACTCATAGTAAAGTGTAGAATATCCTTAGATTATTAATTCACTAGATACATACCTCCCAACCCATAGTAAAGTGTCTTGTTTCCTTAGATCATTAATTCACTAGATACATACCTCCAACCCATAGTAATGAAATGAAAAATATCCTGTATTAATGTGTCTTGCAAGTGCACAATGACAAGAGTGACATCTTATAAAGAAAAATGGGATCAAAATTGAAGTCTAATGCAAGTAGTTCTAAGTACATGTCTAGAGAATTAGTGATCATAGTGTCTGAAACCTGTTATGAGAAGACCTAACATAGTCTAATTGTTCGTTTTCATTGACATTTTTCTAAACCTCTACTCACCTTTAAGAAAACTTTGTAATCTAAGGTCACCTGAGTTGGTTTAAGCGGATAATGAGTGGATATCTCATTAAAAACTCCGCTGCTTAAATCAATACTTTTCAATTTTACCTTCATGCAGTCCTGAACAAAATTAAACTAAATCACACGGGTATATTAAATAAAATCTTCTATTTTTATCTTGATTCTATCAAACTCAACCTTTCTCAAAGGATTGGCATTTTAGTTCATTAATATCTGAGTAGTGAGTTAGGTAAAATAAAAAAAATAAAAATAAGAGAGTTTTTTTCACAATATATATTTTGTGAAAGATAATTTGATTAAAACCATGAAAGATCCTTTTAAACTCAGAAAAGTCTTGCTTTTTTACAATAATAATCTTATCTTTAGTTTTTCCTTTGATTTGATTTTTGTTTATTTATTCAAATTTGAAATGATAAAAACGTTTGAACTGGTTTCCCATTGGTCCTGTTCCAATTTTGCGTTTCCCATAATACAAAAAAAAGTTTCTAAAAAAGTTTTTTTTAAATGTTCTTTTAAAAAGCTTTCTGATCTAATAATATCTCATCTACTATATTATAATATGGCATAATATCAAATCAAAAGAAGCAGCAATTTTTTTGTTTTTTTTTTTATATAAAAAGCGAAGACTGTTTTAAAATATATACAGAAAATAATTCTCCACATGTTTCTTTTCTTTCAATTAGATTTATATTAAACTAGAATAAACCAGTAAATATATTCCTGTTCTCCTGTTCTCCCTTCCTCTGCAGTAAATATATTCCTGTTCTCCTGTTCTCCCGTCCTCTACAGTAAATATATTCCTGTTCTCCTGTTCTCCCGTCCTCTGCAGTAAATATATTCCTATTCTCCTGTTCTCCCGTCCTCTACAGTAAATATATTCCTGTTCTCCTGTTCTCCCGTCCTCTGCAGTAAATATATTCCTGTTCTCCTGTTCTCCCGTCCTCTGCAGTAAATTCCTGTTCTCCCGTCCTCTACAGTAAATATATTCCTGTTCTCCTGTTCTCCCGTCCTCTACAGTAAATATATTCTTGTTCTCTACATTAAATATACTCCAGTAAATAGAAAACTAAATTATAAGTTTAATTGCTTCTTAAAAAAGATTTACAAACTGTGCATTGGTTGGTTGAGAACGAAAACTAAGTTGTTTAGCACTTTCCAATTTTTTCCAATAGACATTCCTGAATCTTCCAATGTTTTTTTTTTGGAAAAATAACTTAATGTTGATACTTGAGCAGTTTTTCCTTTTGCTGGGTTAAAAGTGTTTCAAAATTGAGGATTTTAACAGTTAAACCTATATTTTGTGCCAATAACGATTATCAACTAGATACTTTTAAACTTTTGTTTAGTAATCAAAGCTTTAGTGTTATATACCCCGTATAACACTTTCAAACGAAGGCTAACTTAAAGGGAGTGTCTGGCTAGACATGGTAGTTGAGATGAGAATGCAGCATTGTAGAGACATATTTTTAGGATTCATTTGAGACCTATCACACATAAATTTTACTAGAGGGGGATCATTGCTTTGTCGTACTGTCCCGTTTAGTCTGTATTTGTACTGTACTGCTTGCCCTGGTTAGTTGAGATTCGGCCCGGTACATGAAATGAACTGGAATGTACCGTGATCAGACGTTTTAAGTTGCATTTTTGTTGCAATCTTTAAAACCCTCATTGATTGTACATTTTGGAGGGATGATTTTGAGAATCAGTTTTTAGAAAATTATTCAATAAAGACACCGAAAAATGTAACAAAAATTCTATAATCTACAGAAAACTAATTAGTTGCTGAACAAATATGCACCGTAAAAACGTCTGATAGGTCTCAAATGAATCTTAAAAATTTTCCTAAATACTGCATTCTCAACTCAACTACCATGTCTAGCCAGACACTCCATTTAAATATAGTTAACGATCCCTTGAAAAGAAAAAATGAATTAATTCCATATTATTATTCCATTGACTAGAACATATTGAGAGAATTGTGTGCCAATATTAACTTTAATGAAACAATTTGTTAAGTTAAATTAAATTAATAAATACTGAATATCTACAGAGTAATAAATAGTATTGTAATTAGCATGGGCTCGGTATTACGTCACCAGCACTTCAGTCAAAGACAGTGCATCGTTGTCACGTGATACAGACGGACAAAACGTGACCAGTATACTGCACTGCCATTGGCTGAAGTTCTGGTGACGTAATACGGACTAAACGGAATAAATGTAATAAGATTATCAATGCATAATAAAAATCATATAATTATAACAGTATCAAACCTGAGATTCTCAGGTTTCTGTAGGATCTAGTCTTTTTCAGATTGGTTTTGTATTTGCTGAATATGATCTGTTTAAACCTACAACTTTATACAAAATTGAATATACATATGAATTTTCGTATAAACTTGACACAGTTTTATATCAATTTATCGAGACAGGAACATCAGATTGATGTCTTACATGTATTGTTCAACGCCTGAGATTCTCAGCTTTCATCCTATACCCCCTTTCATTTTTCCTTTACAGTCCCTTTAAAGAAACTGTAAGTGTAATTTCAAGTACCCCTCCATGAAAAGATGGCAATGCCCTGATTCACAACGTTACGTTTGAAACATGATCAATAATCTAAACATTATTGCATACACCCCTGACCCTTTAGTAAAAGTAAATTCAACCTAAAGTCTGACCGCGTCAACCTTGTTGCACAGGCTGGTCCTATTGAGTGTCTGCTTAATTTAACCAATGTCCGGGCGATACAGTACAAGCTGGGACCGGAAAGGTTGACCCGGCTCGGAAATTCAAATGTACTACGGCTGCTCGTGATTGTCCTGTTTCAGGGTTGAAAAATGTCAGATTTAGATAATTTTGATAAGTTTTCCTTCAGTAGAAATGCGCAAGTCACTTTTGCAGAGAAACCACAAATAATCCGTTTTTTTAAACTATAAACATTAAAATCTTATTTATTTTTGACCAGACAAAGCTTTTCTCGATATAAATCGGGCATTGCCATCTTTTCATGAAGTGTTTACTTACGCTTATAATCCCCTTAAATGTATATCTTAAAAGAATAATTTCAATCTATATCTCATCACAAATATATCTTTTATAAAAGTATATGTTTAGTCTTCATCCTGTAGTAGTTCTGTGCAAACCTACATCTGCCTTCCATCAAACTATTCTAGTAAACATTTTTTGGCAAATTTTTATCTTTCTTTTATATATTTGCGGAAAAACATGGTGATAGAAAAATATGCATTTTTTTAATTTACCGTTTCTTGCCATCGGTTTATCAAAGCTGCAGTGAATAAAGCTAATAAAAAAGCTGCAAAAAATAAAGCTAAAAATATAGCTAAACCAGAAGCAGAAGCCAACCCATGAGCTTGAATATAATTTTAAACCGCAATTTTTAGATGAAAAAAAGGATAATAAACATATAAGTTCCGTAAATTTGCTTTTCAATATAGATAAAAATTTTACAAATAATGTTAATAAGTACATATACAAATTTGAAAATCCTATGCCAAAACGTTTTGTTTGTAACTCTATTAGAAACTGCGTTACAAGCAAAAGAGAACTAGTAATTTTTAGTCGAACCCTTGATTTTGGCAGATTTTTCTGATCACCCTGTTGTTTCAGCAAGAATATGAAAGATTGATAAAATTTGATTAACAATGTTTTTTAGAACATACAAATTGAAAAAAATCTTTTGACAACAAGTTTGGTTTGTAAATACAATAAAACTGCGTTACAAGCAAAAGAGAACTAACAAGTTTTAGTCGAACCCTGGATTTTGGCAGATTGTTCTGATCACCCTTAGTTCTACTTACATTGGATAGATCCATTATAATACAGTCGTCGTCACAAATATTAAGACGACTTTCGATTACAATTTTGATTTATATCCAGCTTTTAAACAGCATGGATACCCATAAACATTTAAACAAAGAGAAGCTGTTAATTAAAAAAGCAAACTTGTAATTCAAAAAAGCTTGTTAACAATCAAAATTTAAATAAAAAATTCGTACTCATTGTATTGATAAAATCGCCGACTACTGTATGACATTTTTTTTAAGTCTGTGACGAAAATAACATATTAGGTTAAGCATTGTAGGTTATTTACTGAGAAAAGAATTTCTCAGTGTACCATTCTTTGTGCTTATTACATCATTCTAATACTCAATGCGTAAATTAAAAAGTATTTTTTTTTCAGGAAAACTTGATAAAGATAGAGATCCATATCAGCGATGTTCTGGTGATAAACGACAGAGATTTCTCCATCACGTACTCTTTGTACTTTAATGTTCAGTGGTGGGATCCTAGAATTCATGTTAATACAGGCTTCTTTCAAGACAGGTGATCCGTTCTTCTCCAGGTCCTATTCTACTGCAGAATCCGTCCCTCTCCGTAGATACATTAAGAATCCCAATATAACAAGGATAAGAAATACACCCTGAAACACGAGTTAATCACAATATTCTTCACTATAGAACTTTCAAGGATTAATACTGTTTTTTTTCCTCCATTCTTGGTTTTATCAGTTGTATAATAAAAATATGTCTAACCCTGCAAATGATTGAGATGTCCCTGCAGGATACAAGTTATACTTTACTGGGTTCCATCGTATCCAGTTGGAGAACAAGTACAGACTTCTGGAAAATGAAAGAATTATTTTTACAATATCAGCATTTTTTATAACTTTCAATTCAGTTCACGAAAATGAAATTCAAACAAAAAGTTAAGAATGAAAATGAAATGTTGCAGGTTTGATACACCAGAAGGAACTCTAACACCGGTAGATCTAAACCTGATTAACGATCTCTGGGTTCCAAATGTATTTATCTACAACCTCAAATCATTCCAGGTCATTTTTTCTGTAGGGTCAAAATTACGGTGAAGGTATTATATACGGGTTGGTAAATATTCTAGTAGGAGATCTATGGTATCAGTAGGTTCCTATCCTAGTAGGAGATCTATGGTATCAGTAGATTCCTATCCTAGTAGGAGATCTATAGTTCAAGTAGGTTCCTATCCTAGTAGGAGATCTATAGTTCAAGTAGGTTCCTATCCTAGTAGGATATCTATAGTTCAAGTAGGTTCCTATCCTAGTAGGAGATCTATAGTTCAAGTAGGTTCATATCCTATTAGGTGATATATAGTTCAAGTAGGTTCCTATCCTAGTAGGAGATCTATAGTTCAAGTAGGTTCCTATCCTAGTAGGAGATCTATAGCTCAAGTAGGTTCCTATCCTAGTAGGAGATCTTTGGTATCAGTAGGTTCCTATCCTAGTAGGAGATCTATGGTATTAGTAGGTTCCTATCCTAGTAGGAGATCCATAGTTCAAGTAGGTTCCTATCCTAGTAGGAGATCTTTGGTATCAGTAGGTTCCTATCCTAGTAGGAGATCTATGGTATTAGTAGGTTCCTATCCTAGTAGGAGATCCATAGTTCAAGTTGGTTTCTATCCTAGTAGGAGATCTACGGTATTATTAGGTTCCTATCCTAGTAGGAGATCAATGGTATCAGTAGGTTCCTCTCCTGGTAGAAGATCTATGGTATCAGTAGGTTCCTATCCTATTAGGAGATCTATAGTTCAAGTAGGTTCCTATCCTAGTAGGAGATCTATATTTCAAGTAGGTTCCTATCCTAGTAGGAGATCTATGGTATCAGTAGGTTCCTATCCTAGTAGGAGATCTATAGTTCAAGTAGGTTCCTATCCTAGTAGGAGATCTTTGGTATCAGTAGGTTCCTATCCTAGTAGGAGATCTATAGTTCAAGTAGGTTCAACTTTTATTACAGTTAAACGAATTATTAAATTACTGCAGACCTAACCTTAATTTAAACTTTCCATAGAATGTTTTTAAAACTTTGTAAAAAATAGAACTTGTTAAATTTAAAGTATGACTTATATTTCATTTCAAAACATTATCTTTTTAATTACAATTATTAAAGATAATTAGTATTTTTGGCATTTATTGATTTTAGTTGAATGCTTGCATATCAATTAAGTAGAATAACCGTGGAACGTAATCTATCATCAATAACAACTTGTAAAAGAAACACTGTATAAAATATCAACACTAGGTTAGAACTTGAAACACTGTATAAAATATCAACACTAGGTTAGAACTTGAAAGAGAATTGAATTTAAAACTAGGATTAGGAGAAATAATCCAAAGACCGATTTAATTCTAATGTCGATCTAATTTATCATAAAACCAGAGCAGATATTTAGGTCTGCTAAATCGGTTCCCATATTAATGAAATTTATTATTAGTACAGGGTTCAAAATCAATAGCAAAAAAAGCCGACACAGTTTTACCATTGTATGAAACCGGTTCCACAAAGAATTTTTGCTTAAAACTGTACTAAACTTTTCAGTTCATATTTTCATCAAAGTTTAGCAAAGGTCAAAGAAGCTTTCCCTAGACCAACTAGATTACAAAATATAATAGATGGCAACAGAGAAATGGACCAATTATACACGACGTCACAAGTGTCAAATAAAACAAGGAAAACTAAATTTTCTCACATTCGTTGACATGTTTTCCAAGATTAAATAAAAACAGTGTAAAAACAGAAAATAAAAAACGCTCAAATTTGCACTTAGGACTTTATTCTAAAATTATCACTATTATTAATAATTTTGTCGGACACAAAAACTGAGTTGACACTTATGACGTCAGAAAACAGCTGTACTGAGAGTGTACAAATTCTACAATTGCCAATTATTGTACTAGAATCTATTTGATCGAGATCTCTTTAAACAGTAAATATCTTTATGCTTCCTCCTACCTTATATATTATACAAAATCAAATCTTTGGATTAAAAATATTAATATAATCTTCCTGATGAAGATTTATAATTAGAAACCATTTATATAGGATTAAATCATTTTTAGTTTTGAACTCATGATGATTAGAAATAAATACTTAGTTTAGTTTGCTACTGGATATCCACCCAGATATCTAGGAATATACAGTGAGAACCAGAAAACAGTGGAAAAATAAACCGACATAAAAGCAATATTTAAGCTTATTTGATGTCATTATAAAGCAAATAGTTTTACTATGAAGCTTATAAATCGCTAAAAAAGTGAAATAGTCCGTGCACAGTGCACACTGCAAAATTTCATATTCATTGGACTATTTAAAAACCTAACTTGAGTCGAAAAGTCGTCTTCCTACTTCAAATTTTTTTGTTCTCACTGTATATATATAGTAAAAAAATATTCAGTTAAGATAAGATAAGATAAGATAAAGTTTATTGCTAAAATACATGTATCTGTAAACAGAACGAGTTTACAATTACAAATTGATGATTATATTAACAGTACACGTATAAAGCAATTAGGTGGAAAATAGCTCTTGGCTGTTTATTATTATTTTTTCCACCAAATTTCAATAATGATAACAACACATTTCAATTAAATAGATTTAAGGAGAACTATTAGAGATCAGGGTGCGATTTTATCTTATAGTTTAGTGTGGATATCTAGATATCTAGGAATATATATCTAGTAAATAAATATTTAGTTTATTGTGGATATCTAGATATCTAGGAATATATATCTTGTAAATAAATATTTAGTTTAGTGTGGATATCTAGATATCTAGGAATATATATCTGGTAAATAAATATTTAGTTTAGTGTGGATATCTAGATATCTAGGAATATATATCTGGTAAATAAATATTAAGTTTATAATAATATTAATAAATGTGCCAGGTGATTGATGTTTTGTCTAAGCTGGCGGGACTATGGGTCAGTCCTAGCAAGAATATTATGTACTCACAGGTATAAAAGGCTAGCAAGAACAATGAGATTTTCATGGAGACTTTTTGAACACTGTAACTTTAATTGCAAGTAACCCTCCATGGAAAAATGATAATGGTGGAATCACAACAGTAAGCATTAAACCTTTGTCTAATCAAAAAGTGGAAGATATTGTCGTTTTTCTAGGTGTAAAAAGTGTTTAATTCTGATAATTTAAATAAAAAAAACAGCTGACTCGTATTTCCACAATCCCTGATTGGCTGAGAGCAGACTTTGCATCTTTATCCGCTTAATTCGTCATACCATGAAAAATTAGAGTTTTCTGAAAGAATTAAAAATAGAAAAGCTCCGGCCTCAATTAGACCAAGGTTATAATGCAAGGAAAGTAATTGCAGTTGCGTATACTTTACGTCCATATTGAAACCAGCTCTCTCTGGGCGGAATTTTTAAACAAGAAAAGATGCATCGTTGTTCGTTAAGTATCCGAGGAGGATAAAAGCATTGCATTTTGAAAATTTTAATAATTCACATAATAGTTTCCTATGACCAGAATATTTCATTGATTTTTTATGTGAAAGATGGATCCCATGTCAGGCTTCGACATCTGTCTTGTGTTTACATTACCGTCCAGAGACAGTACACGGCAGTACAAAAGATGCGTACACCTCTGAAATAACTTTTCTTGCATTATAACCTTGAATTAGACTATACGAAGATGTTGATTTTATATTTTTTTTGTTTCAGGCAAGTCAGATCACATTCATCTGTCCAATGATTTTCAACTACTTCCCACTAGATACTCAGGTAGATTTATTATTTAAACCTTTCTAAATACAGGGTGAGTCAAAAAAAAGTGTGATTTGCGTCCCCTGGTGCAAAATTATACCCATTTTTGCGCAACGGTCCTGTATGGTGTTTTTTCTCAATATTTTTTGAAAATTTGTAACTTTTTTTGGTACTCCAATCGACCGAAAAAAAATCCGCGAACCTTTTTTTCTCTCAAAATCAAAAGTTTAGAGAAGCAAAAATGTGTAAATAAATTATTTCTATCGAAATCTAAAATTGTAAAAAGATTGAATCACAGAATCACAAAAAAATCGCAAAATTGTAATTAGAAAATTCGCAATTTTTAATTCTGGTCTATTTTTTAAGGAAAAGTTATTTAAATTCTCTAGTTCCTTTCTTCTTAGTTTATTCTAAAGTATTTAATATACGCTGTTCAGTTGAAACCTTAAGAATCATTGAAAGACAATTTTTCCGTAAAAATTAGACCAGAACTGAAAATTGTGAGTTTTCATATTACAATTTTGCATATTTTCTGCGATTCTGTGATCCAATCTTTATAAAAAGAAAGTTCGCGGATTTTTTTTTGGGGCCATTGGAGTACCAAAAAAAATTACAAATTTTCAAAAAATATTGAAAAAACACCATTCAGGAGAGTTGCACAAAAAAAGGTACAATTTTGCACCAGGTTACTAACAATATTCTTATATTTTCTATCTGAAAAAGAAATTGAGTTTTTGCCACCATATCTAATTTTCTCATCCCTTTATTTTTGCAAATAAACCCAATGTCGTAGACCTTAGATATTTCCTACTATTAATTCTGTTAGATAAACTAATCTAAGTTTGAAATATCAAAAGTTTACACCACCAGGCTTCAAAGGATTAGAATATTTTGAGTTTGTGGCAAAGACTCAATTCCTTTGGCACGGAAACATAACATATAATTACAAAATATATAATTATAAAATATAAACAAAACATATAATTTGATATATATTTGATATAAGTAACATAAGATATAAAGTACAAAAGTATAAGTTATAAAAGATATAATTCCACGATCTATAGAAAGGTAAATGTTACAGAATATATAAAATGTTCTTTACCTCAACTTCCATTGTATTTACACAAAAATAGTTCGAATGAACCAGGAAATACTTCAAATTGTTTTAACCTAGCCTAACTATGAACTAATTCATACAATTAAACTTTTTTGAACGTTTTTTTCGGTTCATTCAAACTATTTTTTGTTCATTTGAACTATTTTTATGTTCGTTTTAACTATTTTTATGTTTATTTAGCGATCGGCCCCATAGCCTGCCCTAACCCCAGCGGTCGGCCCAGAAACTGTCTTAACCTAACCTAACCCTAAAATAATACAATTTCTTGTTCAAATGGACATAAAAATAGTTAAACTGAACAAAAAAATAGTTCAAATGTATGTATTAGTTCGGGGTTAGGTTAGGTTTAGACAGTTTCTGGGTCGAGCGCTGCGGCTAGGACAGGCTAGGGGGCCAATCGCTGCAGCTTGTAGTTCAAATGAACATAAAAATAGTTACAATGAACCAGAAAATAGTCTTTATGAAATGTTCAAATGAATGTTTGTAATTTTCACCTTTGTAGATTTTATAATTTTATCTTTGTAATTTATATCTTTTGTAATTATATCTTTGTAATTTATATCTTTTGTAATTATATCTTATGTTACTGAGCCGAACATTTATAGTTTTCAATGTGCTTTCTCTATCAAAGTCACCGCTGTGGATTTATGCAGCAGAGTCAAAAAATAAGTTGACAGAAATTTCTTTTTACGTTAGAAAAACGAAGATATTTTTCTCGGGTAAAGGTCTCTTTAAATGGCGTCGACAGTTCCTTTAAAGTCCTCTAGTACCAGTATATACCTGGATATTCCTAGTTCCAGTATGTACCTGGATATTCCTAGTTCCAGTATATACCTGGAAATACCTTGTTCCAATATCTGGATATACCTGGTTATTCCAATATCTGGATATACCTGGTTGTTCCAGTACCTGGATATACCTGGTTGTTCCAGTACCTGGATATACCTGGTTGTTCCAGTACCTGGATATAACCGGTTGTTCCAATATTTGGATATACCTGGTTGTTCCAGTACCTGGATATACCTGGTTGTTCCAGTACCTGGATATACCTCGTTGTTCCAGTACATGGATATACCTGGATATTTATGTTAAAACTTTTGTTTAAAGTTTGAAAAAGAAAGAAGGCATAACTCCCGGTTTCTTTCCTTTATTATTTCCTTTGGAAACATTTGTTTGTTTAAAACTGTTTTGCAATTTAACAAAAGATATTTCACATGTAAGTATGTTTCAGCAAACACTATTGTTTATCCTTTTAGAAATTAGTATTTCAATTCTTCAGTGTCCACACACCTTCACCCTAAACTAAGCTTTCTGTGTGAGTGTACTGCAGTCATCAGCAGTAAAATTACCGAAGAAGAGGGTTTATGCGGAGAGTGCCTTCGGGGCAGATTAATGGAATATCGAGACAAATTTGAACAAGAATTTTCATGAAAATCAAAGGAATTGCCACAAACTCTGATTTTCCAATCCCTTTTTCTTTGCAATCCGATGTCATAGACCTTTGATATCTGAAACTATTATAAATGATATAAAACTAATGAAACATAAAATTGATGATAAAAAATTCATAAAAAATATATTTGCTACGCTCATAGTACGGTAAGAGGCGACCCTTATTAGCCAACCGAACCAAACCAAACCCTTATTTTCCTGCTGAACAAAACCCAACCTTACCTTATCTACTTTCACTAGACAAACCTGGTTAAATATTAATAAGTTAAATCAAACAATTTTACTAAATATTCCCGCACGATGTTTTATACAAATATTTTATTTTCTATTCCAGCTGCTTCATTTTAATCTTATTTTCTATTTCTTATTTGCTATGAGCTAAAAACTCTTGTATCATGGATACTGTTAATTCTGATATCTAAATCTTTGTATCCACTGTTCACACTTTTGATTTTATGCTTAATCCTCTCTTTTGGATTTACCTTTTGGATTGCAACCAATGAGAGTTGTCCCATTGATTGGGCGCGCAAAATTTTAAAATGTCTTGGCTTCTGATTGGCTGTTCGAATTATTCAATCAACACACTGATTGGTTAACTTATATACACTTCCCAGGATACAAACTAAAAATTAAAGAAATTGAGTTTTTGTCACAAACTCTAACAATTTGAAAATCAGAATTTGTGGCAAAAACTCAATTCCTTAGTCTTTAGATCAAGCATTGATATCGATATCCTCAATTCTAAAGTTTTCAGTTCCGTCCATTGACTTGCTTTATTATTATTTGCTCCGGTCCCCTGAATATTTTCTTACTACCCCCCCCTTCCCTCTTCATGTTTCTTATTCACTCCTTCCCCCTTCTTCATGTTTCTTATTCACTCCTCCCCCCTTCTTCATGTTTCTTATTCACCCCTCCCCCTTCTTCATGTTTCTTGTACCCCCCTTGTTTTGGAATCATTAAATCAAACCAGGAATGACAAGGCCGGATTAGAAAGCGTTTACTTGGCAACCATGCCAATAGATATTTACATGATATGTATGTACTTTTTTCAATACACACATTTACATGATACAATAGTCAACAGCATGAATTGGTCGAAATAAGGATCCTTACAGGTTTTAAGGTTAAAAATCATACACATGAACTCTGCCTAATGAGATGCAAACCTCTGATGTAAAAAGTCAAAATTGAAACCCGAATGGTTTTTTGATTTTTTTAAAGATGTCTCTTATTTCTTGGTGCTTGTTCAATCATAACCACACACGGGCAGCCGTAGTACATTTGAATTTCCGAGCCGGGTCAACCTTTCCGTTCCCAGTTTGTACTGTATCGCCCGTACATTGGGTAGATAAGGCAAACACTCAATAGGACCATTCGGTCAGACTTTAGGTTGAACTTACTTTTACTAAAGGGTCAGAGGTGCGTGCACAAAGTGGGAGTAAGCAGTCTTTCGTCTTTTAATTAGAAACTATTGTTAGAGATTTTGAAATTAGTTATATCAATCTAGTACAAATTACAAATTATCTACATTTCTATTCAAAATATTTTACAAATTCGACTTATATTTTGCTTTATTCATTCTTCTCGAAGGAAGTTTGACTATATTCGAAATCCAAGATTGAAAAAGAAGGATTTACAGAAATTTTAAAGCAAGGATTTAATGCAAGGAAAGTTATTTCAGAGGTGTACACATCGTTTGTACTGCAGTGTACTGTCACTGGACGGTAATGTAAACACAAGACGGATGTCGAAGCCTGACATGGGATCCATCTTTCACATAAATACTTAATGAAATATTCTGTTCATAGGAAACTATTATATGAATTATAAAAATTATCAAAATTCAATGCTATTAACCTCCTCGGATACTAAACGAACGTACACAGATGCATCTATTCTTATTCCGCCCAGAGAGAACTGGTTTCAATATGTACGCAGAGTATACGCAACTCTAATTAACTTTCCTTGCATTACATTCTTGTTTTAAAGTAAATCTTACAATGTAAAGATTATTATTAACTTTGAGGAAAAGATTGATAAAATATTATGTAAACCCTGAAACTATAAAACTATTGCGTTTGACGCCGATATGGGCGTCACCGATATTATTGTCATTTTCTGTCTGAGGGAAAACATCAAACATCAATGACGTCGTAAGATCGCTCTAAAATAAACTTTAAAAACTATTCTCTGCGAAAGTATTCAATTCTTACCGCCGCCAAATAATTTCTTTTAAAAATCCTTGTCTGATATCCTTGACAGATATCCTTGACAGATATCCTTGACAGATATTGACAGATATCCTTGACAGATATCCTTGTCGGATATCCTTGACAGATATCCCTGTCTGATATCCTTGACAGATATCCTTGTCTGATATCCTTGACAGATATCCTTGACAGATATCCTTGACAGATATCCTTGTCTGATATTCTTGACAGATATCCTTGACAAATATCCTTGACAGATATTCTTGTCTGATATCCTTGACAGATATCCTTGTCTGATATCCTTGACTGATAGATTTGTCTGATATTATTGACAGATATCCTTGTCTGATATCCTTGACAGATATCCTTGTCTGATATCCTTGACAGATATCCTTGTCTGATATCCTTGAATGATATCCTTGTCTGATATCCTTGACAGATATCCTTCTCTGATATCCTTGACAGATATCTTTGTCTCATATCCTTGACAGATATCCTTGACAGATATCCTTGTCTGATATCCTTGACAGATATCCTTGTCGGATATCCTTTACAGATATCCTTGTCTGATATCCTTGACAGGTATCCTTGTCTGATATCCTTGACAGATATCTTTGTCTCATATCCTTGACAGGTATCCTTGTCTCATATCCTTGACAGATATCTTTGTCTCATATCCTTGACAGATATCCTTGACAGATATCCTTGTCTGATATCCTTGAATGATATCCTTGTCGGATATCCTTGACAGATATCCCTGTATGATATCCTTGACAGATATCCTTGTCTGATATCCTTGACAGATATCCCTGTATGATATTCTTGACAGATATCTGTTTACTTTTAAAAAACTAAAATTGCGACATTTACCGTCAAATAATTAACTACAGTTTTCTTATGCAAAATTCCTCCTTCACGCAGCAATTTTCTGTCAATACTTTTCCACCGGTAAATATGCATAAAAAAAATTCATAGAACTATCAATCTTTAAAACTTACCAAACCATATATGTAGACCTTGACTACCAAACTCAAATGTATTTAGACTCTAAAAAGGTGGGAAAATATGTTAAAACAAAGGAATTGAGTCTTTGATATTTTAAATTTAGACTTTTATATCTAACAGAATTCATAGTTAGACCTATTTAATGTCTAAGCAATTGGGTTACAAAGATATGAGGATTGTAAAATTGAACCAAAAGCTCATTTCCTATATGAGAATAATCTATCTTTTCCATATTTCAGTTTATGTATGTTTACGAGTAAAATATTAATAAGAATAAAACGAAAACTTCGAATACAGGGGTTTAAAATATTTGAAAGATATAGAAATATTTCAATATTGAAAAAGGAAAAAGTTGAAGTGGTTATAGGAAGCGTTTTAATTTGTGATAACTAAGAGGTGGAGATCATTAAAACGAAATACGATGAAAATGCTTGAATCTAATGAGTCTGGAAAAAGTCTTTTTTCGTGTTAAGAAATCTATCATGAAATCTATACTAAATAAACATAAACATAAACATAAACATAAACATAAACATAAGCATAAACATAAACATAAGCATAAACATAAACAGAAACATAAACATAAACATGAACAGAAACATAAACTAAATTTAAAATTTGAGATAAATGTGATAAATTAACTTGATTAAAAAGTTTGCAGTGCATGGAGAGTAACACATTTATTCTAAAAACTTCTCAGCCCCTCTGATTAAACTTTAAACAGTGAATTATCCTTTACGGTACACTTTTACCAAATATTCTAGTTTTTCTATCTGAAAATGAATGGTTTTCAATTTCTATTTCGTATCAAATGTTTTGTTGTGGACGAAGACAAAAAAGGGAATTTAAAGAATTGAACACGTTTTAAGAGTGAAAAACGTGGACCGTCCCTTCAAGAATTGAAACTTGGATCTTGAAATTAAAAATTCTCAATTTAGAATAAATTATTGAGCTGATTCAAGCAAAACTTATTCCAGATTTAAACAACTTATAAGGAATTTAAACTAAGTTGACATAAGAAATGATATTGGAATATTGATTAGGAGTGCATAAAACCAGAAGCGGCACTAACGGTGGAGACACCCCCCCCCCCCC